TTTGTATTGTTTTCCTAGTCTGCTGCTTTATTGATTTCAGCCCTCAATTTGATTATTTCCTGGTGTCTACTGCTCCTGGATGAATTTGCTTCTGTGTGTTCTAGAGCTTTCAGCTGGGCTGTTAATTCTGTAAAGTAACTAATCTCCAGTTTCTTCATGTGGGCACTTAGTGCCATGAACTTCCCTTGTAGCACTGCTTTCAAAGTGTCCCATAGGTTTGAGTATGTTGTGTCCTTATTCTCATTGAATTCTAGGAAGTCATTAATTTCTTTTCTTTTATTTCTTCATTGGGTCAGGAATGGTGCAATTGTGCATTATTCAACTTCCATGATTTTATAGGGTTTCTGTGATTTGTGTTGTTGTTGAATTATCAGACCGCATGGTGATCTGATAAGGTGCATGGAGTTATTCCAATTTTTTTGTACCTGTTGACATTTGATATGTTGCCAAGTATGTGATCGATTTTTAAGAAGGTTCTGTAGGCTTCAACGGACGCTGTAACGATACGCGACACACAATTACTGACAGTAAAGCTAAGTATTTAATGTAGAAAATTACTCATAAGATACCAAACCCAGAGGAGCCAAGCAGTTCTCAGCTAGCTGCCGGACCGGAAGCCAAACTCCAGGAAAAGAGACCGAGACTTCCTGTGTGCTGTCTTTTATGCCTTCCCCCTTAACGCCCCTAGCCATGCCCAAAAGTGGGCCTGGCTAGTGACGTAGTTCCGCCTACGTACGTATACATCTTTACGTCCAGCCGTATACGTCTTTAGTCCTGCCTAAAGTGGGTGTGGTTAGCGGTGTGGTAAACCGCCCTTTTATTACCTCATCTGTATGCGCCTCTAATAAGTCACATGTTTAATGGCGGCATCAGACTTCCTCCTACAAGGTTCCATGTGGCGCTGAGAAGAAGGTATATTCTATTTTATTTGGATGGAATGTTCTATAGATGTCTGTTAATCCCAATTGTGTCATAACTTCTATTAGTTCCTTTGCTTCTTTGTTAAGTTTCTGTCTGGTAGTCCTTTCTAGAGGTGAGAGTGGGGTGTTAAAGTCTCCCACTATAAGTGTGTGGGGCTTTATATGTGATTTGAGTTTTAGTAATGTTTCTGTTATGAATGTGGGTGCCTTTGTATTTGGGACATAGATGTTCAAAATTGAGACTTCATTTTTGTGTATTTCTTCTGTGATGAGTATGAAGTGCCCTCCTTCATCTCTTTTGATTGATTTTATTTTGAAATCTAATTTGTTAGATATTAGGATTGCTACCCTGCTTGTTCTTGGGTCCATCTGATTGGAAAATCTTTTCCCAACCCTTATCTCTGAGGTATGTCTGTCTTTGAGGCTTAAATGTGTTTCTTGTATGCAGCAGAAGGATGGGTTCTGTCTTTGAATCCAGTCTGTTAGCCTGTGTCTCTTTATGGGCAAATTAAGACCATTAATATTGAGTGATATTAATGACCTTTAATTGCTCATTCTTGTTTGTTTTGGAATAGTTGATGGTGGTGGAATTATATGTGGATTTCCACCTCTTTTCTTTTGGCTGTTGGTAAGGTGGGATTATCTATTGCCTACGTTTTTCTGGTTGTAGTTAACTTCCTTTGGTTGGGGCTTTACTTCCAGAACTTTCTGTAGGGCTGGGTTAGTGGATATGTATCGTTTAAATCTGGTTTTGTCATGGGATATCTTGTTTTCTCTGTCTATAGTGATTGAATGATTTGCTGGGTGTAGCAGTCTGGGATGGCATCCATTTTCTCTTTAGTGTTGGTAGAGTTCTGGCTTTCAGAGTTTCCATGGAGAAATCAGGTCTGGTTCTGATAGGTTTGCCTTTGTATTTTACTTGGCCTTTTTCTTTTGCTGCTCTTAATATTCTTTCTTTATTCTGTATGTTCGGGGTTTTTACTATTATGTGGTGAGAGGATTTCCACCTGTCCAAATGGTGGAGAATGGGACTTGGAAGCTGGCAGTCTCTGGGCTGGCTGAATCCCGACGGGCTGGGATCTGCATCCACTGTGCATAGTCCTCAGGTCTCTGGTGGTTCTGCCGCCAAACTCTTTTTATGAGGCTTCAAATTTTCATACCTAAGCCACACAAAGATGCAACTAAGAAAGAGAAATACAGACCAATATACCTGAGGAATATTGATGCAAAAATCCTCAGTAAAATACTGGCAAATGGAATCCAAGAACACATCAGAAAAATCATCCATCATGGTCAAGTAGGATTCATCCCAGGGATGCAAGGATGGCTCAACATAGGAAAATGTATCAACATAATCCACCATATAAACAAACTGAAAAAGAAAAAGCACATGATCATCTCACTAAATGGTGAAAAAAAACCTTTGACAAAATCCAACACCCCTTCATGATAAAGGTCTTAGAGAGATCAGGGATAACAGGAACATTCCTAAACATAATAAAAACAATAAACATTAACAGCAACATCAAATTCAACATGATTTCTCTAAAATCAGCAACAAGACAAGGCTGTCCACTCTCTCCATATCTCTTCAATATTGTACTTGAAGTTCTAGCTAGAGCAATAAGACAACAAAAGGAGATCAAGGGGATACAAATTGGAAAAGAAGAAGTCAAACTTTCACTATTTGCAGATGATATGATGGTTTACATCTACCAGGGAACTTCTTTATCTGATAAACACCTTCAGTAGAGGGGCACGATACAAGATTAAGTAAAAAAAAAAAAAGTAAGTAGCCCTACTATATACAGATGATAAATGGGCTGAGAAAGAATCAGATAAATATCATCCTTTACAATTGACACAGACAACATAACATATCATGGGGGAACACTGACCAAACAAGTGACAGCTGTATAACAAGAACTTTAATTCTTTAAAGAAAGAAATTAAAAGAAGATACCAGAAAATGGAACGATCTCCCATGCTCTTGGATAGGTAGGATCAACATAGTAAAAATTTCAATCTTGCCAAAATCAATCTACATATTCAATGCAATCCTCATCAAAATGCCACCACAATTCTTCACAGATCTTGAAAGAACAATACTCAATTTTATATGGGAAAACAAAAGACCCAGGATAGCCAAAACAACCCTGTTCATCAAGTCAACATCTGGAGGCATTGCCATCCCTGCGTTCAAGCACTATAGAACTATAATCCTGAAAACAGCTTGGTATTGGCACAAAAATAGACAGGTAGACCAATGGAATCAAATTGAAAATCCTGATATTAACACACACATATGAACACTTGGCTTTTGACAAAGAAGCTAAAATTATACAATGGAAAAAAGAAGGCATCTTCAACAAATGGTGCTGGCATAACTGGAGGCTGGCTTGTAGAAGACTGCAGATAGAGCCATGTCTATCGCCAAGCACAAAACTTAAGTTGAAATGGATTAAAGACCTCAACATAAATCCAGCCACACTGAACCTCTTAGAAGAGAAAGTGGCGGGTACCCTTGAATGAATTGCTACAGGAGACCGCTTCCTGAACATAACACCAGTAGCACACTGATATTGACAATTAATAAATGGGACCTGCTGAAGCCGAGATGCTTCTGTAATGCAAAGGACACAGTCAGTAAGACAAAAAGGCAACCCAAAGATTGGGAAAAGATATTCACTAATCCCACATCAGACAGAGGACGGATCTCTAAAGTTTACAAAGAACTTAAGAAGCAAGTCTCCAAAACACCAAAAGATCCAATTAAAAAGTGGGGTACAGACCTAAATAGAGAATTCTCAATGGAGGAGACTAAAATGGCTGAGAGACACTTAAGAAAGTGCTCAACATCCCTCGCAATTGGGGAAATGCAAATCAAAACAACTCTGAGATACCATCCTTCTCCTGTCTGAATGGCTAAAATCAAAAACACCAATGACAGTTTATCCTGGAGAGGATGTGGAGAAAGGGGAACACTCCTCCACTGCTGGTGGGAGTACAAACTCATACAGCCACATGGTGTCAGATGAACATGAGCAGCTCTCATCTGAAGCTCTGGATGCAGCCTATATTTGTTCCAACAGATACATGGTAAAGAGTTGTGGCAAGGATGGCTTTCATATTCGAGTGAGGGTCCACCCTTTCCATGTCATCTGCATCAACAAGATGTTGTCCTGTGCTGGAGCTGACAGGCTCCAGACGGGTATGCGGGGGGCTTTGGGAAGCCTCAGGGCACAGTGGCCAGGGTTCACATTGGCCAGGTCATCATGTCCATCTGTATTAAGCTGCAGAGTAAGGAACATGTGATTGAGGCTCTTCGTAGAGCCAAGGTCAAGTTCCCTGGCTGCCAGAAGATCCACATCTCAAAGAAATGGGCCTTCACCAACTCGAATGCAAATGAATTTGAAGACATGGTTGCTGAAAAATGGCTCATTCCTGATGGCTGTGGGGTCAAATAAATCCCTAATCACGGTTCTCCTGGACAAGTGGCGAGTCCTGCACTCCTGAGAGCTTCCACAGAGCTCTCCTGTACCTTACCAAATCATGTTCAGTAATAAATCTCACATTCAGTTTGCTTAAAAAAAAAAAAGAAAAAAACTTAACCATGCATGTATACCATATCTTCTTTGACCATTCTCTTTTAAAATTATTTATTTTTATGTGTATGGGTGTTTTCCCTGTTTATATGTATACTATGTGTGTGCCTGGTACCTAAGGAGATCAGAAGAGGTCATAGGATGCCCTGGAACTTGAGTTACAGATGGTTGTGAATTGCCATATAAGTGCTGGGAATTGAACCTGGGCCCTCTGGAAGAACAGAAAGTGCTGTTAACCATGAGTCATCCTTCCAGCCTCTGCTTCCATTCATCTTTTGATGGGTCTCTAGGCTGGGTCTGTATTTTGATTGTTTGGGATAGTTCAAGGAGAGCTTGGATGTGGACATCTCTGCTGTGTGCTCATGTAAAGGCTTTCTCAGACTTTGGTGGTCTATGAAAAACACCAGGAATCACTGAGCATCAACTACACTCTTCCTCTTCTCAACTAAACTGTGTGCTTCCTTCTGTCTGATAGTAGCAACATGCCCTACTCATTTGACTGGGTTTGCAAGGATGTGGTCAAAAAGCTTCAAGGAAAAGATCTGTGTCCTGTCAAACGTCTGTCAGATGCGACGAAGTTCCGTCAGTTTGAGATACTGCAGAAGACTGCTCAGTCACTGTTTTGGAAAACTGAAGACATTCCAGTTGGATATTCGCTCCTGCAGATTTTAGAGCCAAATTTTCCAGTCCCAGGTATTGTCAGCCAAGGGGCAAAGAATTGTAAACATCAGCATTTTCAGTGGCACAGCTGTCCCAGACCCATGAGCTGCTCAGACAGGTAGCTCATGAGCCATCCCACTTAAAGACAAAGGACAAGGAAAGTCCTTTAGGAATCTACTCATTTTCTGGACCCTTCCTTGCATTTGGCCGTATAGTACTCCAAGAGTCTCTTTAGGTGGAGATATGATACCTATGTTACAGAAAAGTAATTGAGGTTCCTAAAACAACTTGTTCAAAGTTACAAAGTTCAAACTGGTAGACTTAGGATCCAGACTGAGGTCACTCTGTCTGCAAGTCCCAAGCCTTTTTCTTTTTCAGGGATCTGCCCCAGGGCTGGATTCTGTACTTGGAAAGATGATGTCAGTAGACACTGCACAAATGACACTTGCTTTGGTTCTGGGATTTCCCCTCTGTAGTAATTGATATTTCACATATTAATTGATTATATTTATTATATATAATTGATTATTAGCCAGCTTCTTGACTAAGGTTTAAATGAGGAGGAGAACTGCCATCAAATTTCCTATTCTCCAGAGCAGCTGTCCCACAGTGAATTCTTAGGTAATCTTCCTTCCTGTTTCCTCTTCAGACCCTGAAGTATCAGCTCCCATCCCGCTCAAGTGCACTGTATCTCAGAAACTGAAGGGTAACTTGGGTGTCAACGCCATTGCAGAAGGAAGTGTGTCAGCAGAGTTTGCTCATTCCTCTGGATACGACATCGAGGTTCAGTGTACCAGCATCCCAGCTTCAAAACTGGAAATTCTTCAAAACAGGTGAAAGCATGGGTCAGCCAAGTTCTGGGATGTTTTCTCGTAGGCAAAGAGGCATTGAAAGTGTTTATGACAGCTCACATTATTCTACTTTGTTTTTTTTTTAACAAGTCATTGAAATAATGATTTATAGTGCCCTAATAGTATTCATTAATACATAACTATCCATTACTGTTCTATTAATGTGATATGGACAGAAAAACAAGACAGATAGACGAAGGGTCTGGTCTGATGGAAGCTTCTGTTCAGAGGATGGGCATGTAGGGAGGAAGGAGTCGTAGAAGTAAATGTTTGGATATTGATGAAAATGTGAGGAAGACTGTAATTATCACTTGAACACCCCAGGGCTTTGGGACTTAGTTGACTTCTACCACATCTCTTCTGAGGTATAATTTCAAGGTAAAAATGTATTGGGCACCTGTGGCCATGCCCAATGTGGACGTGGTCAGCACCACAGATAATAACACATTAATACAATAAATAACTACAAACATCCATATCCCGTGCACTGTTATATTTCCTCCACAGAAATGTGTGTTTTATGTGCCACATTTTGGTGTGATATATGCATGGAAGCCATTCCATATTATATATGCATGTGTATGTCAGCAACATTACCACTCCATCTGATATTTGCATATAAGTATAACTCAGTAACCTTACTCCATCTGGTAAACATTATTTTAAATTTTTCCTTTATTGCTTTTTTATTATCTCTCTCTCTCTCTCTCTCTCTCTCTCTCTCTCTCTCTCTCTCTCTCTCTCTCTCTCTGTGTGTGTGTGTGTGTGTGTGTGTGTGTGTGCCTGTGCTCACCCTCATGCCATGGCTCAAATATAGAAGTCAGAGGACAACTTGCAGGAGTCGGATCTCTCCCTCTGCTGCTGTGTGTCCTGGAATCAAACTCAGTCAACACCACCTGTCTATGCTCATCCACCCTGCCAGCTTAGCAACTGCTATTGTGACAGCAAGAGCATTTCCTGTCTGCTGTCTCTGCAGACTCCAAGCACATGTAGCATCGTCAACTATAACCACATCGGGCTTTACCATGGTTCCTGGTGATCTGAATTCCTGTCCCCATACTTACATGGCCAGCACTGTATAGACAGGGCCACACCCCAACCTGAAGCTGAAGTTTTCTGTTTGTTTATTTATTTTTGCCATTGTCCCCTCATGATTTGCTCTCTTTGTCCATGAAATTAGCCATTTGAATCTCCTCATTCTTATTTTACACCTTCAGGAAACTGGTGGAAAAGGAGCCATCATTTATCAAGGATTGCAGGATTGGAAGGAAGGACCTGTACGTGGTGACAGAGGCCTTTGAAGTGACCAGGGGTACAGTGCTGGAAGACAGTAGCAGTGTCAGCTTACTGGGAAAAGTGCTCACCCCTCAGTTTGCCAAGGTATGGAATGGGTACGTGAAAAATCAGGAGTGTGGCCAGTGCAACCTTGCTTCTCAAGGGCTTCTGGGTACCAGTTTCTAGGACTCAGAGAATGGGGTCCTTATTTTTCTCTGCTCCTATGTAATATTTGCTAATTCCTGACCTCAGATTGCTTTTTTTTGTAGTCACAATTTTTTAAATTCACAAATTTAGTTTTTTGCTTCCCAATACCAGTTCACCTTCCCTCCTCTCTTGTCGCTCCCCCTACTTCCTTCCTACCCAAGCTCCCATCTGCTCCCTGGGGAGGGCACGGCCTCCCCTAGGAAGTCTATTAAATCTGTTCCATCATCTCATTGAGGCAGGACCAAGGCACCTCTCCACACCCCACACCCCTGTGTCTAGGCTGAGCAAGGTGTCTCTCTATATAGAATGGGCTCCACTGAGTCAGTGTGTGCACTAGAGTTAGATCTTGGACCCACTGCCAGTGGCCTCACATATTGTCCCAGTCACACCATTGTCACCTATGTTAGGGGAGTCTAGTTCGGTCTTATGCTGGTTCCCCATTTGTCAGACCTGAGTCAGTGATTTCTTCCTAGCTCAGGTCAGCTGATTCTGTGGGTTTCCTCATCATGGTCTTGACTCGTTTGTTCATATTACAGCTCCTCCCTCATTTCTATTATACTCCAGGAGCCTGGCCCCTGGTTGGTTGTGGTTTTCCGCATCTGCTTCCATCTGCTTCTGGAAGAAGGTTCTAGCTTCTCTTTGCCTCATTGATTCTTGGTATTGTTTTCTTTGTTTCCATTTTATTGATTTCAGCCCTCAATTTGACTATTTCTTGTCATCTACTCCTTCTAGGTGAGTTTGCTCCTTTTTGTTCTAGAGTTTTCAGTTGTTCTGTTAATTCACTAGTGTGAGATTTTTTTTCCCAGCTTCTTTATATAGGCATTTAGTGCTAAGAATTTTCCTCTCAATACTACTTTCATTGTGTCCCACAAGTTTGGGTATGTTGTGCCATCATTTTCATTAATTTTTAGGAAGTTTTTTATTTCTTTATTTCTTCCTTGACCCAGTGGTGATTCAGTTGATCATTGTCCAATTTTCATGTGTTTGTGGGCTTTCTGAAATTAATGTTACTATTGAATTCTAACTTTACGCTGTGGTAATATGATAGGATACAGGGTGTTATTTCAATTTTTTTCATCTGTTGAGCCTTACTTTGTCATTGAGTATGTAGTCTAATTTTGAGAAGGTTCCATGAGGTTCTGAAAAGAAAATATATTGTTTTGTGATTGGGTGGAATATTTTATAGATGTCTGTTAAGTCTATTTGAATAATAATATCTGTTAGTTCCCTTATTTCTCTGTTAAACTTCTGTCTGGCAGACCTGTACGGTGGAGAGTGGGTGTTGAAGTCTCCCATTATTAGTGTGTTGGGCTTGATTAGTGATTTAAACTTTAGTAATGCCCCTTGTGTTTGGGGCATAGATGTTCAGAACTGAGATTTCCTCCTGATGGATTTTTCTGTGTTGAAAATGAAATGCCCTTCTTCATCTTTTTTGATTGATTTTAGTTTGAAGTCTATTTTATTATATATTAGTATAGCTCCACCAGCTTGGTCCTTAATTTCATTTGATTGGCAATTTTTTCCCAACCCTTTATTATTTCAGAATATCTGCTGTGAGGTTGAGGTGTGTTTCTTGTATGCAGCAGAAGGATGGATTCTGTTTTCATGTCCATTCTGTTAGTCTGTGTCTTTTGATAGGTGAATTGAGTCCATTTATATTAATGGATATTAATGACCAGTGATTGTTAGTTCTTGTTATTTTTGTTTTTGTTGTTGATGATGGCATTGTGTGTCAGCTCCCTTCTTTATAGGTTGCTGTTGTGAACTCATATATTTCTTGTGTTCTTGTGGATGTAGCTGATTTCCTTGGATTGGTGTTTTTCTTCTAGTGCTTTCTATAGGGCTAGGTTTGAGGAAATCTAGGTTTCATAATGGAATGTCTTGTTTTTTCATCTATGATTACTGAAAGCTTTTCTGAGTAAAGGAGTCTGGGCTGACATCAGTGGTCCCTTGGTTTCTACATAACACGTGTCCAGGATGTTTTAGATTTTATTGTTTTCATTGAGAACTTGGGTGGTGTAATTCTGATAGGACTGCCTTTATGTATTACCTGGCCCTTCTCCTTTGCAGTGATTTTAGTATCTCAGTCTCGCTAATGGGTAGATTATCTAGATGAAAAAAAGCATAGAAATAATAGAGTGAATGATACACACACACACACACACACACACACACACACACACAAAACTAGAAGTACCATATGCTTCAGTTAGATCACATATATTCCCAAAGGACTCTGTATTGGATCACAGAGATTATTTGTTCATTCATGTTCATTGCTGTTCTATTCATAATAGCCAGGAAATGGAAACAGGTTAGATGTCATTCAATTAGTGAGTGGATAATGAAAATGTGGCACATACATAAAATGGAATTTCATCCATGTAAAATTATTTATTTATGGACATATGAGACTTTCAGTGAAATGGATGTAGTTTGAAGGAATAGTCCTGAATGAGATAACCCAGACCCAGAATGGCATATGCTGCATGTTCTCTCTCAGGCCCAGTAGATGTGCTCCAGTAGATGACCCCACACTCAAGAGGGTTCCGGCAGCACTAAGGGAACTCAATGGTTTTAGATGGGAGGCAAAAGTTATGGGGATGGGAGGAGTTGGGAGTGAGTTACTGAAGTGTGAGTTTGATAAAAATATATTATAGGTACACATGAAATTCTAAAATATTAAATGATATTGAAAATGAAATTGTACATCAAATAAAGAAAAGGCCCGCCTTCCTGTGCCCTGCTTGGAGCCTCCTGAAGCTCAGGGACTACAACTGAGGAACCCATCATGGCAGTACAGTCATCCAGAGACTGTCAGCATCCTAGTCCTCCTGCCTCCGCCCACGGGAGGAAGTAACCATGGGACTGTTTACAGCCTTCCTTATGGTGCCCTGTTCAGAGCCACCTGAGGTCTGGCGACTGTTCACTGGGGAAACTGCCCTGGCAGAACAGCCTATCCAGGGTCTGCCAATTTCCTGATACTAGTCCTGACTCCACCCACAGGAAGAGAAGACCCATTGGAGTATCAGATCTGCTTGCACCCTCTGGAAAGGGGTGTTGGGACCCATACCCACTAGGAGAGAAAGAGACTCCTCCTGCACCCACTGGAAGAAGGGCTGGGAATAAGACAATATACAGAAACACCAGTATGACACCACCAAAGTTTAGGGACTCTACACCAGCAAGATCTGATCATTTCAATGCAGATAAAACAAAAAAAAGACCTTAAAAATAACTTCATGAAAATGATAGAGGCCTTCAAAGAGGGTATGAGAAAAATTCCTTAAAGAAATGTAATAAAAAATAAAAAAATAAAGTCAACAAAACTCTTAAAGAAAGACAAGAAAAAACAGTCAAACAGATGGAGGAAACAGTACAAGACCTGAAAACTGAAATAGAGACAATGAAGGAAACACAAACTGAGGGAATGCTGGAAATAGAAAAGCTGGCTAAATGATCAGGAACTGCAGATGCAAGTATAACCAACATAGTACAAGTGATGGAAGAGAGAATCTCAGGTATTGAAGATACACTAGGAGAAATATATTTGTTGACCAAAGAAAACATTATGTCTAACAAATCTCTAACACAAAATATATAGGAAATATGGGATACCTTGTAAAGACCAAACCTAAGAATAATAAGTATAGAAGGTGAAGAAACCCAACTCAAAGGTGCAGAAAACATATTCAAAAAATTGTAGAAGAAAACTTTCCCAACCTAAAGAAAGACATGCCAATGAAAGTATAAGAAGCTTACAGAACACCAAACAGAGTAGACCACAAAAAGTCCCCTCACCATATAATAATCCAAACCCCAAACATATAGAATAAACAAAGAATATTAAGAGCGGTAAAGGAAAAAGGCCAAGTAAACTATAATGGCCAACCTATCAGAATTAAACCTGACTTCTCCATGGAAACTCTGAAAGCCATAAGATCCTGGCTAGATACTCTAAAGAGACCACAGATGCCAGTCCAGACTACTATATCTAGCAAAGCTTTCAATCACTATACATGGAGAAAAGAAGATATTCCATGACAAACCAGATTTAAACAATATTTACCCAGTAATCCAACCCTACAGAAAGTTCTGGAAGGAAAACTCCAACCCAATGAAGTTAACTATACCCAGATAAACATAGGCAATAGATAATCCCACTTTATCCCATTTTACCAACAGCCAAAAGAAAAAGAAGGGGGAAGGGGAATCCACACACAATACCACCACTAACAACAAATCCAAAACAAACAAGAATGAACCATCAATGGTCATTAATATCCCTCAAAATTAATGGCCTTAACTCACAGAATGGATGTGAAGACAGAATCCATACTTCTGCTGCATCTAAAAAGCACACCTCAACTTCAAAGACAGATGGTACCTCAAAGTTAAGGGTTGGGAAAAGATTTTCCAATCAACTGGACCCAAGAAACAATTGGGTGTAGCAATCTTAATATCTAACAAATTAGATTTTAAAATAAAAGCAATCAAAAGAGATGAGGGGGTTCATTTCATATTCATCACAGGAAAAATCCATCAAGATGAAGTCTTAATTCTGAACATCTATGCCCCAAATACAAAGGCATCCACATTCACAAAAGAAACATTACTAAAACTCAAATCACACATAAAACCTCACACACTTACAGTGGGAGACTTCAACACCTCGCTCTCACCATTAGACAGAACCACCAGTCAGAAACTTAACAAGGACATAACGGAACTCATAGAAGTTATGATCCGATTGGGTTTAACAGACATCTATAACTCAGTCCATCCAAATACAAAAGAATATATCTTCTTTTCAGCACCACATAGGACCTTCTGTAAAACTCACCACATATTCAGCAACATAGCAAACATCAACAGGTACAAAAATTGGAATAACCCCC